TTTTGAATGTGACTTCTCTTTTAAGATCTTGACAAAATTTATTCCTCACTTTCAAAATTTCTTCCTAAGACCAACTGTTTTCCAAGCCAATGATCATATTGATAGGCTTACTGCAGCTAATAACGTTAAAAATGGTATGCTCATGATCCTAAATGCCACTATTTACTTCCTTTGGTTAGAACGAAATAATAGGTTTGTTAACTCTAAAGTTATTTGTGTTGTTACACTTGTGAATAAGATCTACAGAGCGATTTATCTTAAAATTACTAGATGGAAAAATGTGAGATCTTGAAGGAGATACTGAATTTGAAGTATATATGAGATTCTCTATTTTTTTAGGGGTTTTTTGTTATTTATGTTGGCTAACTATGAGATCAGTCCTGACATGGAGTTATGGGAAGTTTTTGTTGTTTGGTCTGCTATGCTCAATTACCTACTATCTAGTAGATGCTTTGGTTTGGCGGCAGTTACTTTTTCTAAATCTGCGAAGGCTATTCTTTGGCTCTTCTTGTTGCTAGATAAACTGTTAGTCCTTGCCTCTCAAGGATTGTTGCGTTATGAGCCCCTCGATTTTGAGCTAGTTGTTGCCTCATGTTGCCTTCTTTACTTTAGCAGGCTCTTTTTTGGGCCTTGGATAATGATGAAGCTTGTCATCTTCCCTTCAAACAATCTTCACGCAACCAAGGGAGCTTTTCCAATCCGATTTCAATGATATTCTTTACATTTTTCTAAGTCCAGGCCACACAGTTTATCTCTTTGTTTTTATTTTCATGCTTTCTTGTTTTTTATTGGTTTGATATCTTTATCATTTTTTTATCAGCCTCATATTTTTGTTGATGGCTATTTTCATCTTACACATGTATTCTCAATTTTAATTTTATAGAATGAGCTATGCCCTCAATTTCTCAAAAAAAAGAAGGAAAATCCATACTTAATTGATTTAAGAATATTTAAATTTGGATTTAGAGAGAGAGAGAGAGAAGAAGGAAAAACCCTTAGGGGCTATTTGGTATCAGATTTATCATGAGATTTAAGTCAAATTTACGCTAAATCCAGCCAAGAAGTTTTTTCTTTTTGTGCTGGTTAAATCCAAGGATTCCATAAATCCCATATTTATGGATTTACGGCTTAAATCCCAGATTTACTAAATCCCTCGGTTCGCAGATTTAACGGGATTTAACATTAAAAGTATGCGAAAGGGAGAAAGTTAACTTCACAGCCAGCGAGCTCGTGTTCTTGCTTCAGATCAAAATGTCCTAACTTCCGATCCAATAGGAAGGGAAAGTCGTCAAAGGAGCAAAGTCGAACATCCACGAAGGAGCCGAAGAAGTGACATGTTCAATCTCTACACCTCCTGTTAATCAACGAAGTGGAACAGAAACAATGAAAAGAGAGGATGAAAGGCCAACCCTAAACATCTAGTTATTTTTTAATTTATAATGATCTTTTTCACATTTAAATCCTTAATTGCCATAAATCCTTAAATAAATTACCAAACAGTTTCTCAGGATTTAATATTTGACATATCAAATAGTTTTCGGGATTTAACACATTTCAAATTTATTAAATCTAGATTTACAGGATTATCTTTATTAACACTAGAGCATGAACTTAGGAAAGAAGCAGTAAGAAGGTGGATCACCCGTAAGAAATCACGAGGAGAGAGAAGCTCTGGGAAAAGAGGTGATTCTAGGGTTTTGAGGTTTGCGTGGGCAAACGATGCCCTAATTTGTTCGATCGCTTCATTTTTCTTTGTATTTTTATGGATCTTGCGAAAGATTTTTAAGACTGGTTATTTATCTAAAGCTGCTAAAGCAACAACTATTACTATGATCCCAAAAAATAGTAATGCATCTCAGATTTCTGATTTTCAGCCTATTTCTCTTTGCAATGTGTTTTATAAAACTATTGCTAAAATTCTTGCTATAAGAATGAAGGATGTTATGCCCTTGATAATTCATTATAGTCAATCTACTTTCATAAAGAAAATGATCTCTACTGACAATATTATTCTGACAGCAGAATTATTGAGAGAGTTTATCTGTCAGAATAAAGAGAAATTATTCTGTTCCAAGTTGGATATTTATAAAGCTTTTGATTCAGTTTCTAGGGATTTTCTTTTTAATAGGATGGCTCAAAAAAGTTTTCCTCCAATTTTTATTTCTTGGATTAAAGAATGCGTTGAAGATATTCATTTCTCTATTATCCTTAATGGTGCTCTTAATGGTTTCTTTTGTTCTTCCTCTTGTATTCGACAAGGATGTCCTCTTTCCCCATATCTTTTTTGTACTGTTATGGATGCATTTCCAAATCTTCTTGAGGACCACTAATATGCTTACTTTTAAAGGTATTATAGCCGGTGAGAACTCCATATCTCATTTATTATATGCAGATGATGTTCTAGTTTTTGGTAAAACTTATATTAGGAACGCTTATAAGCTAAATGGGATTATGGACTATTTCTATAAAGTTTATGGGCTTAAGATCAATTAAGGTAAAAAGTTCCATTATTTTTTCTAAAAATTGTGGTTTGGCACAAGATATTAGTCATATGCTGGGAATCCATATTTCCCAAAATTCTTTAAAATATTTAGGTATTCCTATTTCTTGTAAAAGGCTTTTAATTTCTGTTTTTCAACCTTTGATGAATAAAATTATGGATATGCTTGCCGATTGGAAAGCTAGAATTTTATCTTTTGCTGGTAGAGTTCAATATATTAATTTTACTATTTCCAATATTGTTTCATATTGGATTAGAGGGCTTTCTTTACCTAAAGCCTATTTCAATTTTTTTAAAAAAGCTTGTTCTAGTTTTTTTTTTTTTATGGTGAGATTAATGTTAGAAGGATTCATATGATTGCTTGGAAGGATGTTTGCAAGCCTAAGAAAGCGAATGGGCTTGGGATTTCTAATCTGACTGCTTTAATGTTTGCATTTAACTATTCTATTATTTGGAGGATTGTTAATGATCTGAGCTTGCTTGTGGTTTGGGTTAATTTTAAGTATATCTCTTGTTGGAAGCCTTGCTCTCATAAACATTCTAAATTTTGGAAAGAACTGTGTGGTATTGGTAGAGTTATTAAAGATAATATCTCCTTTAATTTGGTAGAATCTAGTAAATTATCCCTTTTTTGGGATCTTTGGATTAAAGGAAAGGCTCTGCAGGACATTCTTTCTTCTCATGAGGCTTCTTTTTTACATAACAAGAAGGGGATAATTGAATTGATAATGGTATCTAGGTTATTCCCAGTTATATTCTAGATAATATTACTCAGGAAATTTTGAAAATTCTAATTCTTAATCAGGTCTCTTCTTCGATCTCTTGGGATAAGGTTCAGTTGCCTGTTTTTAAAATTTTTTATTCTTTTTTCTTTATTAATATTAATATGGTTGATTGGTTTAATTATGTTTGGCACAAAAATTATGCTTTAAGATTCTCTTGTTTTGCTTGGATGGCTATGTTGAATGGGTTAAAAACGACATATCTTTTGATTAAGAAGAATATTATAGTGCCTAATAACTGTATTCTTTGTAATAGTGGAAGTGAAAGTCATAGACATTTATTTTTGAATGTGACTTTTCCTTTCAGATTATTTCTAAGTTTGTGCCTAATATTAATTTCTTTATGCTTAGACCTAATTTAATTCAAACTTTCGAATTTATTTGGAATTCGAATTGGAATACACATGCAAAAAGTCTTTATTTTTTTATACTTGTTGTACTCATTATTTTATTTGGAAAGAGAGAAATTGCAGAAAATGGAGAATAAATTTAGCTCGTAGGACTCCATCTACAATCATATCAGGTTTGTGGTTCAAGCTAAAGTTTTTAATTGGGTCTCTTTGCCCAAAATTCGACACAAGATTAACAAGATGTGGTGGTTTGAGTATTTTTTTGATTATGATGTTTGAGCATTTTCATATTTTTTTTGTTGGATGGCTAGTTAGCAACCAGTTTTTGTTTGAAGGTTAATCTAGTAACCATTGAGATGGGGGAATTTTTTAAAAAATATGTTTTTCTTCCCTTGCTGAGTCAAGGGTCTTAAGGCCCCTTATTTTGAGGTTATTTCTTCCTCTGGTTCCGGTTGGGAGGATATTGTTTGAAAGCGACTCTTCATTCCTGCTTCTCGGTTTGGTATTTCAGATTCTGGAATATTGGTTATTTGGCCTATTTTGTCTAGTGTGGTAGTTCTCTTGATTTTTGAATATGGAGGATCTTCTGAAATTCTTATTCTGGGAATTTTGGGTTTGTATGGCTGTAATGAATTTTGTTTTTCTTGTTTCCTCTGATACTGTGGATTTATTTTTATGTGCAGGAGGTTTGGAATGGTTCTGGCTAGTTGGAAGACCAGATTGCTGTTCAAGGATGTTTGCTTGGTTCTTTTGGAGAGCCTCCTTAAGTTTTTTGACATTCTGGTTTTGGAGCTGTTCTTCTGCTTTAGTTCAATTGACTATTTTTTATTGTTCATCTGAGATCACTTGTTGTTGCTGATTTTAGGTTGTTTTTTGTTGGAGTTTTTCTTCTAGTGGTTTTTATTTTTCATTTAGTTCTTGTAGAACTTTATTTTTTGGTGTCTTCTACTTCTAGGAGATTTTAGGTTCAATTTAATTTTTTCTTTTTGTTATTCTGTTCTTTTTCGTAAGTTTTTTTATTTGTGGAATAAAATTAGGAATGTATGCCCCTATTTTTTCAAAAAAAAAAAAAAAAGGTTTAAAGAATTTACTAAATCACATTAAAGTTAAATCCCACTTATTGCGAAACAGCACCTTAAAATGGGCAAATTATTAGGTTCAGTCACCGGACCTATTTCTAGGTCCAAACATTTAATAAAAATTTGCCACATGGACCGCGCTTTGATTGTGTTTTGACTATGATTTTGATTGTACTTTAATTGTACTTTAACTGTATTTTTGACTGCCATTTTTTGACTCAAAGCATAATACAATGTATTAAATTTTGTAGTGAATGTCAGGATCTACAAAAGTCCGGTGATCGGACCTAATAATTTGCCTTTAAAATAAACGAAGCCGTCGCTTCTGACATCTTACGTGAGCTAGGTCAACTGGCCAGCGAACGGAGAACAGAGCAAGACGGAAGGGAGATGGCCAAGTACGGTGAATTGAGGAAGGCGGTGGATACAGTGACTGCAGTGGACGCTCACGCGCACAACCTTGTGGCCATTGATTCCGACTTCCCCTTTCTCCACTGCTTCTCCGAAGCCCAGGACGAAGCACTAACATTCGTTCCCCACACTCTCTCATTCAAGGTATCTTTATCTATGTACCAGATTGGCTTTCGAGATTCCTTCTTCCCAGAGCTCGGCTTTGGGGACCACCCCAATTTGTAGTTATTATTTTCCCTTAGTGGGCAAAAGGTTCCTCTTGTTTGAGCCTTTGGGGAACACCCCAATTTCGTCTTTGTTTCTTGGACTTTGGTGGGAAAGGGCATGGTTTGGGATAGGTCGTAATGATTCTTTTATCAGAAATTTATGACATCGGGGAAAACGATACAGTGGTTCTTTAGTCGTCGAGCCCCCTGAAATTGTCCATTTGTTCTTGTTTAAATTAGAAAAAGTACTATGTTTTTAGGCGTTATGCCCGATTTCCCTGCCCTTGTTTGATAAGTCTTTTTCAGCTTGGGGACAAAGTTGATAACACTGTAATATCCCTTGCAAGGAACTATTTTGGGCGGGAGCCTGGAAGAGCAGTTCTTTTGTTGAGGGATGCCGATTGAGCTTTTATTAGGCAGGTCAAGTAGGGATTCTAGTCCTAAGAAAATCAATTTGAACGTTTATCTCTCATGGCGTGTAAATATTCAGGTTGGATTAGGGGTGTAACCGAGTCGAGTCGAGTCGAGTATTAGCCTTATCAAGCCTGGCTCGTTTGATCCTTAATGAGCTCGAGCTCGAGCTCGAATTCGAGCTCAAATTATCAAGCTCGAGCTCGTCTCGAAAGCTCGAGCTCGTTTAAAAAGCTCGAGCTCGAGATCGACTCGTTTATAAATTATCAAGCTCGAGCTCGACTCGAAAGCTCGAGCTCGTTTAAAAAGCTCGAGCTCGAGATCGAGCTCGTTTAAAAAGCTCGAGCTCGAGATCGAGCTCGTTTATAGGATGAATGCAGCGTAAATGGAATTGAGAACCATGATTGCTTTTGAAGAATTCCAAATGTTCAAAACCCGTTCTATCATGTGTTTTCAGTCACCTGAAATTGTTTCTGGAAGTTTGATGGAACTAGAAAAAGTAAGACAAGATTAACGTAATACCAATTGTAACAAACTGTGCTAATCACAGATAGGGAAGTAGGCATTACTTGTACCATTCCATCATCATAGTTCATAGAAAATTGCTCAAGCAATCCTAGTTGTCTAAGCAATACAAATTATGTATTAAGATCTTATAACAGCTATACATTTCCTATATATACTCAATTGTATATGGTACGCATTGAGATAGTGAAATAACTATTTTCCCTTCTTTTCTTCTTCTTCTCCTCAGTCCTCACTGTGACCTTAGCTTATGCTCTTTGCTTTAGTTTCGCTCTTTATAATATTAGAGCCATTTTTGCCTTATAGGCATTTTGGCCTTTTTTCCCTGCAAATTGTATTGAGCAATCATCATCTTCCTTCTGTAACAATGCTTCCAATCTCTTGAGTCTTGACAATGAACAAAACTATAATCTTTCCTATCAAATTTGTTATGTACAACATCAAGCAAATAAATCATCAATACTCGATTTACAAGCTATAACTATCCCATATGGAGGTCTCAAATACTCAAAATATTCATAGCTAATGGCTATGAAGGATTTGAATGGTTCCACCACACCCCCCAACAAGGTGATAACCACTGTAGGAGGATAACTCTTCCTCAATCGTGTCTACAACACATGTATGTTGATAGACCAAAACATAGCCATATCACTCTACTCTATTGTCTCTGCTTATATTCTTCTCTGCATCTTAAATCTAGACTCGTGATTGGAAATATGGATTACAATCAAACATTACCTATAGTCACACACCATCCAATTGAAGAACAGCCCCCTTCCTATTGCTATGAAGAATCACACAATTAATCAACCAAATTGCTGCCAATGATTCTCAAATTGACAACAGAGCTATCATCCTCTATATTCTAAATAGCTCACTCCGTATATATCACTCCTTTAAAATAGTCATTTGCATCAAATATACCACTTACAAGCCCAGATGACCTCTATTCTCTTTTATGTAATGAGGAATTAACATTGTTGATGACATTGCCAAGGAACAACCCATGCTCTACTATTCTATTGGTTGCGGTCTTGTCACCTTCACTCTTGGCCGAGGCACCGCTCTATTTCAACAATACAAAGGTGGTTGGTAGCACACTTATATGCCAAGTCCACAACAAAATCAAGCATTCGACATTCAATTGCTGGCACAAATCAAACCTTAACTACTAGCCATCTTAGTCAACCTCTATGGTTCTTATCACTTCACACAAAAATTCTTCTTTCGATTGGTATCTTGACTCCAATGCTACCTCCCACCTTAGCACTCATTTGTAGCACTTCTCTATCTATCAAGCCTGTGATAAAGTCTTAATGAGTAACAACACATCCCTACCCGTGGTCAGCACCTGACAAAGCATTTTGCCGAGTCCTCACCATAAGCTTTTCTTATCACATACCAAATCTTTTCTATAATATACTTTCCGTACATAATCTCATAGTTGACAATCACTGTTCCATTTTCTTTGGCACCTCGACTATCACATTATGGACCTGAAGGCAAATAAGATAATCTCCTAGGGACTATTCCATGAAGGCTTATATCCAATTCGCCTCCTCATACTCGCCATCAACATTTTCGTTCTCCTGATTACTTGAATTTCTTCCAATATATGGCATAGCCTTCTCAATCACCCCAACATCCAAACAACTTCAATTATCTCCAAACAAAACACCGACCTCAACATTCCTCTCTGTGAACTTTCTTGCAGCTTGTGCACTTGTACCAAGAGTCATTGCTTATCTTTTTCTAAGTTTAGCAATCATTCGTATGAATCACTGGAACTAATTCACACTAATATATGGGGAAGGTCCCACATTATTTTCATTTATGGTTATAGCTATTATGTTTCACTTAATGATGACTTCTCCAAATTTGTTGCATTTTTTACACATATGTTGAGTCTGAAACCACTTAGAACTTTGTTCTATTCAAAATAATGGTGTAAAAATAATTTGATACTCTCGTAAAAACTTCTTCTTTGATGGGTGTATTGAGTACACCAATCACACCCTTCAAACATACCTAGCCACTCAAGGCATAGGCTATCAATGCAACTATCCATATACCACTAAAGAAAATGGCCTAGCTGAATGAAAACATCATTATCTCATCATAATAATCTGCAACCTACTGCATGAAGCTTATCTCCTATATTATTTGTAGATTGAATTCCTCACACTGTCATACCTCATCAATTACATGCTATGTACATTCACAGATTATAAATTTCCCTTTTGTCTTCTGTATAGAAAAAATTAACATATAATCATCTCAGTATATTTGCTTGTAGCTTCTTTCTTGGCTTCAACCGCACTTGGCCCACAAGTTTTCCCCTCGTATATGTCGTATGCCATGTGTCTTTCTCAACCACTCATCCATGCACAAAAGGCTTCAAATATGTTTTCCCCACATATGGCGAAATCATAATCACTTGCATTATTGTATTCAAATGAAACCACCTTTCCCTAACACCGAGAAAATCTACCAATTATCCTAGCAATCTCATCAACCAATTCACTGCTTATCTCATTCCCAACTCCACTTTGTTGCTATGTCTACCTACACTACCTGAATGCCCTTGTCCCCATCACTCCTCCCAAATCTACAAGCACCTCTTGTCTTACTAACTTGATCGACTCTCTCATCTCTAGGAGTCATGAATCCTCATCCCCTTCACCTCCTCTTTGCTCACCTATCAATAATCACCCCATTCTTAGAAGGTTGAGAATAGGTTCCCTCAAGCCATGCCTCATTTTTAATCTAAATCATTTTCTCTACAACCCATAAGAACGCCCTTGCTACTCTTATGTCATTCGTCATCCTTATTAGACTCATGCCATTTCTCAAGAGTTTGATGCCCTTTAATGACAATGAACTGGGAGTCTCGTTCCTCGGCCGCCATATCAAAGAATTCTTGGTTGCTAGTGGACCTCTAAGGCCAAACTTCTCATCGTTGGTTCTATAACTTGGCACCAGGTTTGCCTTATGGGTCAAGATTTTAAATAGGAATATGACATTGATTACATCAAAACATTCAATTTTATCGCAAAAATGCCCACCATTAGAATCTTACTCTCAATATCCTTATACTACTGCTGAACATTCTTCAATGAAACCTGGACAATGCTTTTCTCCATGGGAAACTCAATGAGATAGTTTACATGACACAATCTCTAGGCTTTTGTGATCCTCAACACTCGCAGCATGTATGCCTATTGAAGAAAGCTATCTATAATTTAAAACAAGGTCCCTGCAAATCGTTCACATCCTCCTCGGGACATCTTCAACAAGGATTTAAAACTAGCTCAATTGATCCTTACCTTATTAATCAACAACCATAACAATAGTTGTTGTTCATTTACATCGATGATTTTCCTTATGAAATGATAAATTGACTATTGCTTATCTCGCCCAAAATTTGTACAACAAATTCATCATGAAGAATCTTGGTTCAATATCTTGTTTCTTAGTATTTAGGTCACTAAAACACTTACAGGCTACTTCCTTAACCAAGAAAAATATGACAAGGAAATTCTTCAAAATCTAAGTATGTCCATTTGCAAGCAGATGCTCACACCACTACCGTCCCAACTCCCTTCTAGAAGTGACAACAAGAATGTCTTTGGCAATCCCTTCTTTGTCGACATCTCATTAGCTCTCTTCAATACCTCACCATAACCAGTCCTGACATCTCCTATGTCATCAACCTCCTCAGTCAATAAATGCATGCTCCTCTTAACTCTCACTTACAACTCAAATGTCTCTTTTTCTACATCAAGGGAATTAAGAACTTTGGCTTATTGACCAGGTGAAATGAATTAGCACTAAGCTCGTAGTGGGTGAGTGATATTTAGGAAAAATTCATAAGAGATTATTAGTCCTACCTTGGAAATACTTAGGTTTCATGGAATGTCAAGAAGTAACCCATCGTCGCTCAATCATCTATTGATGCCCAGCATAGAACTTTAGGCATTGTTACTACTGACATTTTCT